CTGAAGGGAGGCTGCTACCAGGTGACAGTCAGAGCCTCAAAGCTATAGCAAAATCATCTAAATAAAGTGACGATCAAATATGCCATGGAAGAACGGAAGGTAGGTCATTTATAGCTAAGAGAAAAAAGGTAGTGCTAAGGACATAACCTTGTGGGACTCCCTCGGCTTGTACCAAGTCTGAGGAAAGCGAGGCGCAATCAGGTAAGTGAAAATAAATGATTTAAGAGTTTAAAATAAAGATGCTCACTGGAATCATGCTGCCAGTGTGTGATTTTTAAGGTGAGGTTAGTGAGCCTAGATGATCCATTACGCAGTTCTAGAATGGCACCTATGATGGAGAAAATAGATGTATCTCCTGACTTTTAACCTTGGCTGATTTTAATGGCGAGTGGATGTGTTTACACATTCAAAAATATTGTTATAATATTTGTAGACTGCTAAACCCATAGGGGTTGTACAGTGCCAAAATAAAGACACTCAGGTTTGATTCAAAGGAAGCAAAGTATAATCCCAATTTTTTGTAACGAAATTTTTCACCAGCATCAGAGAACCTCCCTTAAAGAGGGTTACATATTTAAAACAAGATTGAAGTGACAGAAGGTGGCAGACAAATGCATGCATACTTTTTCAACCATTTAACAAAAAAGTGCGTACTCATTAGGGAAGGGCTAAACGTAGGGGTCATGCAGTGCTTGGGAATAAGCAATACTGAAATATTCTTTGGATCATGAGCACTGCAGCAGCATCAGGCACCTCCCTAGAAGGGAATGAATAATGACTAGATCAAACTCCATATAGCGGTTTCAAAAAAGAAAGTGTGGAGTCTATGTAAAAGATACTTTCTGTTGCACAGAAGTGCTGAACTTGACAAATGATACAGTAGAAATCCTAGGCATCACAGTTGAAAATAGGGATTTGGTAATTATCCTAGTATACAAACCACAATCAGCAACTGTTGAGGAAGTCACAGATCAGTTAAGGTAGATAGCTACCTATCTGGATAGGCTAGAAAATCCCACGCCAAATATTCTACTCCTTGGAGATTTTCATCTCCCTTATGTAAAATGGAAGATGGTGCAATGCAATGTTATACCAGAAATATCTCTGGGAAGCACCCTGGCTCAACAGGCTCATACCAGGGAACTAATGAGGCTTTGTGAAAAGTACTCATTGAACCAACAGATAACTGATATCACTAGAAATGAAAACACCCTGGATTTGATATTCACAAACAACGATGAGCTAATCAGACATAAGTTACAAAAACAACATGCTCTGATCACAACATCATAAAGGTACGAATGAGTATTAACCCAGGGTTAGGGAACTGCATCTCTAATGTTAGAGATGGGATGTTCAGTAAGTTTTAATTTTAACAACCCTAGAATTGACTGGAAAAAATAAACCAAGAACTATCAGACATATCCTGGGAATCAGACATGAGTGCCCTAAATCCCCTCCAGTGCCTAGAGAAGCTGAATACAAAAGCATACAAGGTATGTATGAAGTACATACCATTGAGATGGTACAGAAGAAGAAAACGGATTATTGAATTGCTTAAAAACACAAATATGTCGCAACAGAGGAAAGATAGGTTTAGCTGAGAGATCACTGAATTAGAGAAAAAACTTAGGATGTCATACCTAACAAGAATTATAAAGGGAACAAAGGGTCATATAGAATATTGCGAGAAACCCAAAATATTTCTATTCCTACGCAAAATCCAAGCTAAGAACTACCTGTAGAACTGGACCATTATTGAGAGGAGATTCGTATACTGACAATGAACAGGAAATGAGTGAATTCCTAAAAGAACATTATGAGCTGGTGTTCAGCAACCCACTAAATGACAGCAAGGTAGAAAATGCAGAAATATTTTTCACTCCAGCAGAAGGCCGCACAGACCAACTGACATTAATACAAATCCCATAATTTCAAAAAAGAAATAGACAACATGCCCACTCACTCAGCACCTGGACCAGATTCATGGAATGCTTTATTTATAAAGAAGTGCAAAGTACCACTAGTACGAGCCCTCAGTATTCTTAGGAGAAAGCTTAGATATAGGTTAAATACCAGAGGCCTTAAAGAGTGCAGACATAGCTCCTTTGCATAAGGGAGGCAGTAGAGCACTAGCTAAAAATTACAGACAAGTAGCCCTAACTTCTCACATCATAAAAATCTTTGAAAGAGTGATGAGACTGCAGATTACAAATTTCATGGACCAGCACAACCAGAATAATCCAAACCAGCATGGTTTTAGAGCAGGACGATCATGCTTGTCACAGCTGCTGAACCATTAGGACAGAATTACGGAAGCACTGGAAGACTACAAAAACGCAGATGTGATTTACACAGATTTTGCAAAGGCATTTGACAAGTGTGATCATGGAGTGATAGCTCAGAAAATGAGGGCCATAGGCATTACAGGGAAGGTAGGCAGATGGATTTTCAGGTTCCTAACACACACACAACACAAAAAGTAGTAGTATACAGAGCAAGATTCAGCATCAGTAAGGTCAAAAGCTGTGTCCCAAGGGACTGTCCTGGCACCTTTTCTGTTTCTCATCCTCATAGCAGACATTGACAGAAACACCCATCACACTTTTGTATCATCATTTGCAGATGACACTGAAATAAGCATGAAAGTCACTACAGTAGAGGACACTGAAAAATTACAGGAAGACATAAGCAGGGTTTTCCAGTGGGCAGTGGAGAACAACATGATGTTCAATGGTGATAAGTTTCAGCTGCTTAGGTATGGAAAGAATGAAGAACTTAAAAGGAACACTATATACAAAACTCAAGAGGGTCACCAAATAGAACGAAAGGAACACATAAAAGACCTGGGAATAATTATGTCAGCTGACCTTTCTTTTAACCCTTTCTGGGTCCAAACCGTAGTTCTACGCCATGAGCTCAGCTCACTCAGGTAAGCTGTGAGCAGTAAATTTGGGCCTAGATATGAGAGAATACATCTATGTGACAAGTGTGCACCACGTAAAACAAATCCTGCAGCACAGAGTGCATAATGAGAGAAAAAACAGACCGTAATTTTGGATTAAAATAGCGACTTTGCGGTGTTTTTTCGTATGTTTTTTATAATCGTACGTATTTGCAATTTCTTGGTCTCATTTGATAGAATGGAAGTTATAAATAAATCACATTACTCATCCAATACACATCAGCTGATGGGTTTTATGTGCATTCACAAATGTGCTGATATTATTTATACAATTATTACAATATTGCATGACAGCAAATCTTCCATTTTTTTATCTGAAAAAAAATTGTTAATAAAAAATCAAAATGGAATTCATTTGTAAAGCCTGAAAAACATAACTAATGAACAGAGGAAATGTTAGTTTAGTGCCAGGAATGCCTGCATTGTTTATTCTGGACCCTATTTTGAAATAGGAATATTTTGAACTTTGTGATAAATTGGCCAAATTATCAATTTCCGATCACTTTATTGGGTAGTTGAAACACTTGACTTGATTTCTTGTGCTCAATCGATAAAACAGAAGCAATACTAGCGAAATGGCTAAAAATTTCGTCGACTGGAATAAAGTAACTGGCCTAAAATGGGAGTCAAAGTCGGCAAAATTGCCGACGAGTAAATATTGCTGATGCATCAAAATTCGCGAGAGCATAATTTTGTCGATTTTCCATCAAATTTCACAAGAAAAAATAAAATTTTTTTTTTTTTTGGAAAATTCTTGGACCCAGTGGACACGTCTCAGATTTTGGGTCTGGACCCTGAAAGGGTTAAGGAACATAAGATAAAGATCATGACAGCCAGGAAGATGACAGGGTGGGTGTTGAGAACTTTCAAAACAAGGGGAATAATGCCGATGGTGACACTCTTCAAATCGCTGGCGCTCCCTCATTTAGAATATTGCTCAGTGCTGACGGCCCCATTCAAAGCAGAAATATCAGAGCTGGAATAAATACAGAGATCATTTACAGCTCACATTGAGCCAGTAAAGCACTTAAATTACTGGTAATGCCTTCAAGTCTTGAACATGTACTCATTGGAGCAGAGAGAGAGATGCACAATAATACATACCTGGAAAGTACTCGAGTGCCTGGTCCCAAATCTGCACACTGCCATAACATACTGGAGTGAGAGATAAGGGAGGAAGTGTAAAGTAAACCCAGTGAGGATCAGGGGTGCAGTGGGGACAATAAGAGAACACTGCATCATCATCCGGGGTCCCAGACTATTCAACATCTTACCAGAAGATATCAGAAAGATGGCTGGAACAAGTGTAGAAGCCTTCAAGAGGGAACTGGACAAGTATCTTCACCAGGTACCAGAGCAACCAGGCTGTGATGGATATGTGGGGCAGCAGGCCTCCAGCAGCAACAGCCTGGTTGACCAGGCAAGCACCAGACTAGCCTGGCCCATGGTCGGGCTCCGAGAGTAGTTAAACTCTCAAAACTCTTCAAAGGTATATGAAAGTTAAGGTATGCCAGAGCAATTTCACAGGTCAGTTGGTGCAAAGTTAAAACTATTGTCAAAAATTATTAAATATTTACTTTACTCAGCATAAAAATAAGATATATATAAAGAAATACAATAAAATAATTTTAATATAATTATGTCTACAGTATTTACATTTGATAAAAAATACATAAACATTCACATCATACAGCTTTATTTTACTAAGAAACAAACCCATACACACAGAACATTGTATATACTGTGTAAATCTTCTTGCATAACACCACTGGATGGAGAATCAGATTAGACTAGCTGTAAAACCAAAAATTCAACATTTAACAAAATATAATCATACCTTGTACTTTTGGCAGTGAACAAAAACAAGATCATACTGTACCTCTATGAAAATGTTTCCAAGATATTATGATGTGATTTAAAGAAAAAGTACACAAAGTTATTCCCTTCAATAATAATGAGGAATAAAACATAATATTCAATCTAATGTTTGACCATTAGTCCATATTCAGGGATAATAAAGGAATAACAAAAAAAAAATAAAAATGATTTATATAAGGAATTATGTTGTTAGTAATCAAGAATATATGCTATAACTAGTGATAATATCTAGTTACTATGGTGAAATCTACTCTAACATTTACATTTCATAAACTCTGAATTCAGTATAAGTAACAAATTTATTGTTTACTTCTGACCTGAATAAGCCTTAAAATATTAAAAAAAATCCATATACTGTATTTGATTTTTTAAGAATGGCAAAAAAAAAAAAAAAAAATTAATGAAATACAGCAAAATATACAATAATTAAATTTTATCATACTGCAAGAATATGTTGTAAGTACTGTATCTTAAAAAAAAATAGGAATTCTGCACACATATACTGCTTCCCCTGTACTTAGCCATGCTGTATACAGTATACATGTGTGTGCAATTTGTATCCTTTGAAAAAGATCTGAAGAGATCAAAATGTCCCATTGAAACTCATTCCATTTAAAGATACAAATGCAGTATAATGTATTAACTGGCAACATTTTGCCCTTGCAGTAAGCTTCATCCAATCAAACAGATGAACCTGGAGAGGAAGCAGTGAGATTCCAGGTTAGGTATGAGATGAGTAGTGGGTGTAGGGTTTATCTAACTTCGGTCAGCAGGCCGACTGCAACTGTTTTTCTGGTTGAAATTGTGGGATATATTGAGGAGTGCTGATTCTGGATGTCTTCCTGGATGATGAGTAGTGTACTCATAAAATTACTCAATTGGTTTTAAGTGTGAAATGCAGGTATTATTAGTCATCAATTTTACTGGAATTCTGGTGTTCACGAATGTTTGAAGAAATCGTCTGATGTTTCTCCCACGTATATTTTGTTGCAATCATTGAGAGAGACTGTGCAAGAGACACTGTCAACAAGTTCAAACCACTGCAGGGATATAATAATTCCCTGGAATTACCAAGATACAATATGCAAGCAAGGCATCCAGACTTCCACTAATGCATTTCTGAACACCAATACACCCGTAAAATTAATGACCTAGATAACGTCTGAGTTTCACGTGATAATTCCCAGTCACTTGACTTACGTGTTCTCTTTCAAGAAAGAGAACACCTAAACGTAGCATAGCATCTTAGAATCAGCCCTCGTCAACTTGTCCAACAATTTCAATCAGAACAATGATGTCTACAACATAGCTAAGTTGCTTGCCATGAAGCTTTTAAATAGTCTCGTTACATAGCAAAAATTCATAGGAACACTGCAACAGGCCTGCCAATGCAAGCTAAGAAGACCTTACATCCACCATTCATTTTACATATAACCTGACTGCACTCTGTGTGTGGGCAAAAATGTTATCAATAAAAGCCTACATTATACTCTATTTCTTTCTATAGGTATCATCTTGGTATTTTATACCATATTTCTACAAAAGCTCTTTCTGTAAACACGATTTTTTTCACTATTTTCAGGTCAATGCCATTTAGATCCATATCCAGTACCTTAGTAAATGCATAAGCTGAAGCACTGGCTGCAAGTCTTTAGGTACAATCTCTTCATAAGACATAAATGAGCTACAGGGATGTCAGGAAGTATTTTTTCAATCTTAGGGTGGTCAGAAATGAAATAACTGAATGATCTTGGTGAGGAAGTGGTAGTGGTAAGCTATATACATGTATATAGTTTTGAGAGCAGGTGTAATAGGGCCCACAAAGCTGAGATGGTGGGATTCTGGCAAGCAGCAAGTTGAGAGGTCAGGCTAGGAATAAGGGCTTAACCACTGCAACTACATAGAGGAGAGTGTATTGTGTAGGGGAGCACAGATATGCATACATACCAATGTGCAGTATACAAGTAATAATGCAACGAGAATGATTAAGCCTTTACCAATAATACCAATAAACAGAACCATTCCATTAAGGAAAGACTATTTCATCTCTATAAGGTAATGCCTCGATTAGCCATCTGCAATTCGAACCTTTTGTTGAATCTGACTCCCTTTAGTATTTTCCTCTGGCCCTCACGCATTTCATGCCTGAGAAAGTGGAAAAAATGGAATATATGAATGATCATACATACACATTCACACTCACTCCAATATATACAGTAGTTAATATAGGGGTTCAAAAAAGATATAACAGTTTAATTACACCAATTAGTCAGAAATAACAGTTGAAACCAAAAGCTGGAGCTCATCCACCACACTCAAATAGATTCAGTACAGCAATTACATATAACCCAATGAAATCAAGTTTAACCAATGTGAGAGGCAAACACCAATGACTGTCTTTGCCTTTAAAACCAAGTTAGGAGAAAAGTGAAATTAGCCCTACAACTACACTTTTTTTTTTTTTTAACATAATGCCTGTCTCCCACTTAGGTAGGGTGATTTGAAAATGAAAATAAAAAAAAAAAACTATCATTCAATCAGTTTTGCCAGAAATTTGCTGACATCACAGTTTGGATGACCCCATCATTCCTTCGAAGTGCAGGCACTATACGTCCCATCTCCAGGACACAAGTCCAGCTAACTGGTTTTCCTGAATCCATTCAAGAGTTAGCCTGCTTACACTCCAGCAGCACATCAAATCATAAAACGGCCTGGTCACAGACCGGGCCGCGGGGGCGTTGACCCCCGGAACCCTCTCCAGGTAAACTCTCACCTCCACTCACTCTTATCTAAAACAGTCACACATGCCTGTTGATATCAAAGCCCATAAAACACACAATTTGTTTTACCCCACCCCTCCTCCCCTTCCAACCATTCATAGAATAACCCTTACCTCTCCTTCCCTCCACCTGAAATTTATATGCATGCCTAGTCATCCTATTTTTTCTATCCATCCTAAATATCCAAACCAACCCAACAACCCCTCCTCAGCCCTCTGCATATTAATTTCGGTAAACATTTTACAGAGCAAATATACTTCCCAATCACAGGTATGCAAAATATCAAAGAAATTAAAAAAATTTTACAAAGAAAAACAATATCATAGATGAAATTTCTAACCTGGATTTAAGATTAGGTTTCCTTTCTGCCATTTTCTTCAATGTTTCTCGGTCAGCAATTGGTTTCAAAGTTCCCTTGTATGGTATATAATTCAAGGGCTTGTTAATGGTGGCCTTTGGATCATACTCAGACCTCTTGTTAACAGAACCTATGCATGAGAGATTCACAGAAGTAAGCTTGCTAGTAACAGCAGGACTCGGCACAGACTGATTCACTGAAATAAAAAATGAACGGCTTAAGTTCATAATCAAGCTATTATATACTTCCTATCTTGATTACTACCTTTTATCATGAACATTCACACAAGGTTCTACAGTCATAAATATTAGGTATAGTAAGATATAGTATAAAATAAGACAAGTATGAGATAAGACGTGCACAATACAGTAATTGGGATGTTTTGCCGAGGAAACGTTTTTGCCACAAATTACTATGTACTTCAGTTCTGCCGAGATAACCACAAGCATTATTTAACCCTTTGACTGTCTCGGTCGTACATACACATCTTACGAGCCACCGTTTTTGACTTATACTCATAAATTCTAGCGGATTCAAATCAAGCAGGAGAAAGCTGGTAGGCCCACATGTGAGAGAATGGGTCTGTGTGGTCAGTGTGCACCATATAAAAAATCCTGCAGCACACAGTGCATAATGAGAAAAAAAAAACTGACCGTTTTTTTTTTAATTAAAATGCCAACTTTGTGGTCTATTTTTGTATAGTATTTATGGTTGTATTCTCGTTTTCTTGGTCTCATTTTATAGAATGGAAAACATATTATAGAAATAGAGATGATTTTGAAAAGAACCTTGAAACGGAGCTAAAAGTAGAGGAAATGTTTGATTTTTCCCGATGATCAAAAGTAAACAAATGGTGTCGTTTTCCAATAAATGTCCAAGTAGCCATTCTAATATGCAGTCATGTATGGGCTGACATTATTTATACAATTATTACAATATTTCAGTAGTCTGCATAACAGTAAATCTTCTATTTTTTGTTTGAATAAAAATTAAAAATAGAAAGCAAGAGTAATATCAGAAGGGCCTGGAGACGTGACTGATGAACAAAGAAAATGTTATTTTACAGCCAGGAATGTCTGCATTGTTTATTCTGGACCCTATTTTGAAATTGTCATATTTTTTAATTTTTATGAAATTGGCCAAATTTCAAATTTCTGACCATGTTACTGGGTAGTTGAAATCAGTAAATGGGCAGTTTCTTGTACTCAATCGATAGAAAAAATAAAGTTCTAAAGAAATAGCTATGAGTTTGGTCAACTGGAACAATGGAATTAGCCGAAAATAGGGCTCAAAGTGGGCGAAATCGCCGATTCGTAAATATTGCCGAGGTCGCTAACTTCGCAAGTGTAATTCTGTTAGTTTTCCATCAAATTTCATTCTTTTGATGTCATTACAATCGGGAAAAGATTCTCTATCATTTCATAAGGAAAATTTGGGGGGAGGGGGGTTGCGGCACCAGGAGACACCTCAGGATTTGGGGTTACAACAGTCAAGGGGTTAATTACACATGAGTCATTTTACCTGACATTTATACAGTGGTAGTGAGGTGCAATGAGGGACCAGTACAGTTGTAAGGCATGACGCAGAGTGACCAGGTTGGCACAGGCCAGCACTCACTTTAGTGCTCTGAAACTCCAAGTTTTAGGTTGGGGTCTGGAGCTTAATGAATGTTCTGCTAACATTCATTAAGTGGAGTTAGCTATATTTAAGAATTATATATAATTTGGACACTTTTGAGCACAAGAAGTACTGTACAGCAATTCAGTATTATGCTGGCATGGTAGTGGATAGCATAGAGGCCTGCTTGTTGTAGGACTAACTTGCCATGAGTTTGAACCCCATCCTGGTCAGTGAGTTATACAAATCAAATTCATTCATATAAGAACAAACCTTATTTTGACAATTTTTAGCTAATGTCTAGATAGATTTCACAAACAAATTTGTATACACAAGTGCTAATAAGGATACCATTCACTTTTTCTTTCTAATTACTCAATGAAAATACAATGGAATACAATTAAATCACCAAATGTTTCCCTCATAAACAAAATAATGTCCATGAATGATTTTAGCCATTAGCAACAGTCAACCTATGATTTTAATTACAGTAGGCACAAATAATTCTCAAAAGAACTAGAATTCGCTTACCAGGTTTAACGTTTTCTTTGTGAAGTTTTGACAAGACATTTGGGCCTCTAACTGGTGAAACTTTCTTGACCGATGTGACCTTTGAAGTTGTTTCAGAGCCTTGTTTCTGTAAGTTCTTGCAAACTGATACAGCATTTCTTGGAGATGTTCTTGGAGATTTTTTAATGTAGGACTTATTTTTAGGTAATCGTTGGGTTACACCTGCATCCTTCCTTGTTGCCCTTGGAGACTTCGAAGGCTTACTGCTGGAAGGGAAGGACTCCTTTCCAGTCTTCTCAGAAATCTGGGCTAATTTTGGAGTTTTTTGTGAGCTTGACATTACTTTTAGAGAGGTGTTAGGTTTGGGACTCTTAGATTGAGCCACTATGTACTTAGAAAAAGCTGGAGTCTTCCTGGTTGAAGACCTTGGGGCTGAAAATAAATATAAATATAAAAATTAGAGGCAAACAAAGAAAAAAAAATCAAGTTTAACTTTAAACTTGATTTTTAAACAACAAATATACCCTTTAAAACTTTATTAAAATAATTTTAAACCTAATAAAAAAACTGACAATGCACCTTTTATCCTGATGAAGGTTTCTAAAAAGCATCAAGTATTAAGTCTAGAAATGCTCTTTCCAGGGTCCAAGGAGTGTTACATAATTCATCCAAAAAGAATCCAAGCAAATCAATAATTCATTTACCTATGGCCTTGTGATTTTAATTCTAGAAGAAAAATTTTCTCACCTGACAATAGTTACCTTTTCCAAAAATATTGTACAGCCTATTAGAGTAGAGTAAACCCTTGATTTAACAGACTAGTAAGGGGGAAGCAAGTGGTTGGGTAGTAGCAGCTGTAGTGAACAGACATGATCGTTTTCCAATGATCGCAACAATAACAGAAGCTTCTGTAACCAACAGGCTTCACCCATTATTTCCAAATCAACTGACCCTGGGGATTTTGTCCCATATTTTCAATATTCAATTTTGTGTAAAGGAATTTGAAAGTGTACATAGATGAGAGTAAGGTGATGAGGGTATCAAATGAGTTAGGTAAGAAATGTGGACATCAGATTGAAGGGAGGGAGTATGAATGAAGTGAATTTGTTCAGACATTTGGGAGTGGCCATGTTGGCGGACGGGTATGTGAAGGATGAGATATATGAAAAAAAGTGTGTGCACTTAGGTATCTGTGGAGACGAGAAACATTATCCATGGAGCCAAAGAAGGGAATGTATGAGAGTATAGTGGTACCAACATTCTTATATAAGTGTGAAGCATGGGTTATAAATGTTGAAGTGAGGAGGAGGCTGGAGGGAGCCGAGGTATCGTGTGGCATAAATACTATTACGAAGAGAATTCATAGAGTGGAAATTAAGAGGTGGTATGGAGTTATTGCCGGACTTGAGTCCTGCTGGAGGTGGGACGTACGTCTGAACTCTAAATGAGGGGGTTGGGATATATGCTATTTAGTGACATCTAAATTGTCATATCTGCACGCCTCTGACAAGACAGTGATAGTGTGAATGATGATGAAAATGTTGTTTTTTTTTTTTTTTTTTGATCACCCTGCCTCAGTGGGAGATAGCCAGCATATTACATATATAAAAAAAAACTAATATCTATTAAATTGAGAACTGCTAAATTAAGGGTTGACTGAAATTTAGTTATCCTCATAAAGTATTTGAGATACAGTACACATCTAAGAGAGTAAACGTGTCCCCCAAACCTTTTCATGAAGGCTGTTCCCATTATAATTACTAATACTACCACCGGTTTGGAATTTAAGGTTAGTGTTTTTTAGTAAAGGCAAAGCATGACCTAGAATTTCTATCCTACAATTAAACCCTTGCAACCCCATTCAACAATTGGGGAGAAAAAAATATATCAGCTTTTGTGCAGTATAATTCACATACTTGAATGCCTGTGAAAAAAATCAATTAAAACATTTTCTTTATGAACGACAACATATATTTTTTTTTTTTATTATCACACTGGCCGATTCCCACCAAGGCAGGGTGGCCCGAAAAAGAAAAATTTTCACCATCATTCACTCCATCACTGTCTTGCCAGAAGGGTGCTTTACACTACAGTTTTTAAACTGCAACATTAACACCCCTCCTTCAGAGTACAGGCACTGTACTTCCCATCTCCAGAACTCAAGTCCAGCCTGCCGGTTTCCCTGAACCCCTTCATAAATGTTACTTTGCTCACACTCCAACAGCACGTCAAGTATTAAAAACCATTTGTCTCCATTCACTCCTATCAAATACGCTCACGCATGCCTGCTGGAAGTCCAAGCCCCTCGCACACAAAACCTCCTTTACCCCCTCCCTCCAACCTTTCCTAGGCCGACCCCTACCCCGCCTTCCTTCCACTACAGACTGATACACTCTTGAAGTTATTCTGCTTCGCTCCATTCTCTCCACATGTCCGAACCACCTCAACAACCCTTCCTCAGCCCTCTGGACAACAGTTTTGGTAATCCCGCACCTCCTCCTAACTTCCAAACTACGAATTCTCTGCATTATATTCACACCATACATTGCTCTCAGACATGACATCTCTACTGCCTCCAGCCTTCTCCTCACTGCAACATTCATCACCCATGCTTCACACCCATATAAGAGCGTTGGTAAAACTATACTCTCATACATTCCCCTCTTTGCCTCCAAGGACAAAGTTCTTTGTCTCCACAGACTCCTAAGTGCACCACTCACCCTTTTCCCCTCATCAATTCTATGATTCACCTCATCTTTCATAGACCCATCTGCTGACACGTCCACTCCCAAATATCTGAATACATTCACCTTCTCCATACTCTCTCCCTCCAATCTGATATCCAATCTTTCATCACCTAATCTTTTTGTTATCCTCATAACCTTACTCTTTCCTGTATTCACTCTCAATTTTCTTCTTTTGCACACCCTACCAAACTCATCCACCAATCTCTGCAACTTCTCTTCAGAATCTCCCAAGAGCACAGTGTAATCAGCAAAGAGCAACTGTGACAACTCCCACTTTATGTGTGATTCTTTATCTTTTAACTCCACGCCTCTTGCCAAGACCCTCGCATTTACTTCTCTTACAACCCCATCTATAAATATATTAAACAACCACAGTGACATCACACATCCTTGTCTAAGGCCTACTTTTACTGGGAAATAATTTCCCTCTTTCCTACATACTCTAACTTGAGCCTCACTATCCTCGTGAAAACTCTTCACTGCTTTCAGTAACCTACCTCCTACACCATACACCTGCAACATCTGCCACATTGCCCCCCTATCCACCCTGTCATAAGCCTTTTCCAAATCCATAAATGCCACAAAGACCTCTTTAGCCTTATCTAAATACTGTTCACTTATATGTTTCACTGTAAACACCTGGTCCACACACCCCCTACCTTTCCTAAAGCCACCTTGTTCATCTGCTATCCTATTCTCCGTCTTACTCTTAATTCTTTCAATAATAACTCTACCATACACTTTGCCAGGTATACTCAACAGACTTATCCCCCTATAATTTTTGCACTCTCTTTTATCCCCTTTGCCTTTATACAAAGGAACTATGCATGCTCTCTGCCAATCCCTACAATATAATAAGTATATATTTTAAACATTATGTAAACCTATGCCAGCTCTGTCTTCAAGACGTTGTATTCTTCAGTAAATGCTATTTTTTCAGTTTTTCTGTACAATATTACACAAATAACTTGCACACAGACTTTGAGAAAGCAACTGACAACATGCCCGTGCACTCAGCCCTAGGCCCAGACTCATGGAACTCTGTGTTCATTAAGAACTGCAAAAAACCCCTTTTGTGTGCCCTAAGAAATACTATGGAGCAGCAGCTTAGACATGGTTGAAATTCCACAGTCACTAAAAACAATGGATATAGCCCTTATCCATGAAGGTGGAAGCAAGGCATTAGCTAATAACTACAGACCAATATCTCTAACATCCCCCAATCACAAAAATCTTTGAAAAAGTGCTAAGAAGCATGATTGCCAACCACTTGGATTCCCAAAAATTGCACAATCCAGGAAAACATAGGTTCAGAGCAGGTTGTTCCTGCCTCTCGCAACAACTGGATCACTATGATATGATCTTGGATGCACTGGAAGAAAAACAGAATGCAGATGCAATATACACAGACTTTGCAAAAGCCTTTCACAAGTGCGATCATGGTGTAATAGCACACAAAATACGTGCTAAAGGAATAAATGGCAAAGTGGGGAGATGGATTTTCAACTTTCTAACCAATCGAACACAAAGAGTAGTAGTAAACAGAGTTAAATCGGAAGATACCATAGTGAAAAGCTATCTTCCTTATCCTCATATCAGACGTAGACACAGATGTAATCCACAGCACTGTGTCGTCCTTTACACACAATACTAGGATCTGCATGAGACTGTCATCTTTATAGGACAAGGTTAACCTCCAAGAAGATATAAACCAAGTTTACCAATGGGCAACAGAGAACAATATGATGTTCAATGAAGACAAAGTCCACCTACTCCATAATGGAAAACTGGAGGAGATAATAATTAGAACTGAGTATACAACAAACTCCGATCACACAACAGAGTGAAAAAATAATATGAGAGACCTGGGAGCAGTAATGTATGAGGATCTCACTTTCAAGGATCACAACAGGGACACGATCACAACTGTGAAGAAAACGATAAGATAGATAATGAGAAAATTCAAAATAAGAGATACCAAGCCAATGACGATCCTTTTCAAATCACTTGTTCTCTCTAGGCTAGAATATTGCTGTACATTAACATCTCCATTCAAACCAGGTGAAATTGGAGATCTAGAGAGTGTACACAGAATCTTTACTGCACATATAAGTTACATCAAACACCTTAACTAATGGGAATGCTTGGAAGCACTTGACTTGTACTCGCTGGAATGCAAGCGAGAGAAATATATCATAATTTACATTTGGAAAATCCTAGAAGGAATGGTCCTGAATCTGCACACAGAAATCACTCCCTACGAAAATAAAAGACAAGGCAGGCAGTCCAAAATACCCCCACTGAAAAGAGGGGCACCACTGGTACACAAAGAGAAAACACAATAAGTATCCAGGGTCCAAGACTGCTCAACAGCCTCCCACCAGCCATAATGCAGCCCCTGGCTGCCTTCAAGAGGGAGCTGGACAGATACTTTTAAAGTTGGTGCCGTATCAGCCAGGCTGTGCTTCGTACATTGGACTACGTACGACCAGCAGTAACAATCTGGTTGATCAGGCCGGGATCCAAAAGGAGGCCTGGTCATGGACGTGGCCACTGGGCACTGATCCCTGGAATACCCTCCAGGTAGACTCCAGGATAGGAGAGGGGAGTATACGACATTTCAGTCTGACTTCGACCATTTACAAAGTCACACTAACAGAAAGGAGAGGAGGCAGTAAATATATA